TGAAAGGAGCCCAACCAGTGGGTGCGGAGTGACGTCAGGGGCAATTGCAGGAGGTTGGGGGCAGCAAGGGGGAGTCAGTCCCGGGGGGTGGAGGAGGCCCGCAGTCCCCGGAGTCCTCTCCCACTCTCTTCCTAGGCAACAAGCCCAGAGTCCGGAGCATCCGCTTTGCGGCAGGCCATGATGCAGAAGGCTCCCAGAGCCACGTCCACTTTGATGAGAAGCTGCATGACTCGGTGGTCATGGTCACCCAGGAGAGTGACAGCAGCTTTCTGGTCAAGGTATGTGCACACCTCCTCCACCATCATCCTTGCACCCTCTACCTCCTCCTCAGCCCTGCCTGGCTTCCTGGGCCTGTCTGTTCCGTATCTTCTAAGCTGGCTCCATAGACATAGCTTCATCCCCCCCTGGGCCTTGGTTTCCCCACCTGTAAAGTAGGAGGTGGTGAGATTTGAATGAGATGAATGCATTTAGAATGTCACCTCGAATGAGGTGATCAGAAAGGAGCTATTGTTTAATCATTTGTTACAATCAATGTCACCCTAACAATAGCCATGGAAGGAGGGTGTCAAGGCTGTGGTGTCACAGGCCTGGGTTCAGGTCCGGGCCTGCTAGTCTGGCTCTGTGACGTTGGGCAGATGACCTCAGCTTCCTGTTCTCTAAAATGAAGATAATTCACATCACATAGAGTTGGTTCAAGAATAAAATGGACGAACATAGGTATGTTACACAGGTGTGAGACTAATTATGCTGATAACAAGGTTTATGTACCTTTGGCTGATTCACTCCCATGTTTTCTGCTCAGTGGGGCATGCCCTCTCCTATTGGTCACACCTCACACACCCTCCAGTGTGGCTTCTCCAACTGTTGGGACACAGCTGGGATCCCACATCCACTGGGGAGGGGGAGGGGAAAGTCTCGGAGGGAATGGATTGGGGGAAACAGGGAGAGGCCCCCAGGTGGGACAATAAACCAGGGCTCTGGAGTTCAGCAGGAATGCCAGGAGAAGAGGGGGGCATTTGGCCCATCGAGACCACCCTGAGAAGGGGCCCAGGTTCATCCCCATTCCTGCCCTATCCTTGTTCTTTCTCGTGTGGCTGACAGCTTCCTAAGGGAATAAACAGAATGAAACAAAACAAAAAAACAGCTCCCACTCCCCCACTTCCCATTGCAAAATCCTTTCCTGTCTATTAGAGAAAATTTGGAAGAAATGTAAAAGTACCCAGAATTATAGAATCTATATTTTTATTTGTGTCATTCTGTCTTTTTTTATAGCTTTGTTTCCAAAAACAAAAAGCTGATACCACAGTGTAACACTGTTTTTGCTTGCTTCTGTTGTGAACCATTTCCTGCCTCTGTCAGTAAATAATTTTCCATAAGATTTTACAACTGCTTGGTATTCCATTATATGTACCATCATTGATTCAGCTGGTTCCCTATTCTTGGTGTTACTGCCGATTCTATTTTTTACTATTATAAATAGGACAGTGATGAGTATTTTTTGCACATCTCTGAATATTTTCCCTGGAAAATTTTGCAAGTGGTGCAGCTGTGTCACAGGGTCATCACTGCAGGTCCAGCCAGAAAGCTGTCTTGAGAAGTGTGCCCTCCACCTGCAGAGTGTGGAGCCACACAGAGCTTTATCATGCAGTGACATCAGCCTGGTCCCACTGAAAGGCTCAATGTTCCATGTAGCCGATCCCAACTGGCCCCCAGGGACAGGGCCCCCCGGCCCCTGAAACCCTGTGCACAGGAGCTGTGGGTGCAGCGTGCACCCCTGTGCCCCCTGGACTGGCATTCCTGTCAGCCTGCCTGCTCAGCAGCCACCCCAGCTTGTGACCCTTCATACAGCTGGAGTTCCCAAGGATGGCATCTCTCTCAGAGGGCATCGGTTGCCAAGCACTGTATGAACAACAAATTGCTTGGACCCTGCGTCAGGGCTGTTGGATACAGTGAGCCTTTGAGTGGGCAGGCTGGCTTCTGTGTTCAGATGCCAGCAGGCAGGATCCTGGGTTCAATGGCCAGTGCCAGGCCTGTTTCTAATTCTATCCCAGTCTTCATTCTGTACAGTCTGTGTTGCCCCATGTCTCCACATTAAGTGACTAGAGAGCCAGTGTTCCTGACCTAGGGCTATTGGTATAGTGATGGGGGCAGTGGATGGCCCCTTCTGGGCAGTGGCTGGTGCCTTGCTGTGTGCTACTCATGACAAAAGTGGCCAAGAGGCCTTCACTTCAGCCAGTCATTTCCTAGTGTATAAAATGGGCCACTGAGGAGCTGTGGGGTCCCTGAGACAGATGCTGAGGAGTGTGTGGCCGAGCTCTGGGGTTAGGTGCTCAGGGGAAGGGCCTAGAGTCACCAGGCTGGGGGTGTGGACCAGCTGGCGTGGTGGGCGGAGAAAGGCCCCTTAGGATCCTCAAGGAGACAGGTGCAGAGGCCCACAGGATCATAGATGGCACACCTTGGGCGGGCCCTGGGGGAGGCTGTAAGTGAAGGTTCTTCCTCCACCCTTCCTGCTGCAGGTTGGCTTCCTGAAGATCCTGCACAGGTATGAGATTACCTTCACCCTGCCCTCGGTGCAAAGGCTAAGCAAGGACGTCCGAGAGGCACCTGTCCCCAGCCTGCACCTCAAGCTCCTCAGCGTCATGCCTGTCCCAGAAGGTGCGTCCCCTGCTCAGGGTACTGGAGGCTTGCCCTCCTCCCACAGGGCCTGGGTGTGAGTGGGAGTGAGAACATGGGGTGCTCCTTTCCCTCCATACAGGGTAGACGGGCAACTCGGCAGCCAGGGACATGATGCCTCTAAATGGGCTCACAGTGTGGCAATGTGGCAGGTCCCATGCCCCAGGCCTCACTCCCTGGACAGAAGTCCATGGGCTCACACTGTTGGCCTGTCTTCCCATTGCCTGACAGTTCACTCACTGGGGTGATAGGGGCCACTGAGGAACTGGCTCTGGACCTCCAGCCCTCCCTTCCTCAAGTCCCTCAAGAAAAACCTCCTGGAGCCCCAGAAACTCTGTGCGGCTTCTTCCTAGCACCCACCTGGGCTTTGGACTGGGGGCTGCTTCTCCCTACCCTGCTAGCTTCAGCCCCCACCCCCTCCATAGGCTGGGGTGTAAGTTCCACTGTGTGCTGAAGCCCCGGCTTCAGTTACATGTCCCCCACCTCCTCATGACCTTGCTCTTAAGTGGACTGTGCATACTCCCTCAGGCCTTTGCCTCTTGCCTCTGATCTGCTTAAGTCCTGGCCTGCCCACCCCTTTTCCCTCTCCCTGCCTGCGTTTTTGGGGAATCAGCAGGCAGTCCTCCTGGAAGCCTAAGTGTGACCCTTGGAACCTTAATGGGGCGGCCACAGGCCTGAGGCATGTAGAGCTCTTTGAAGAAGAGGAAATTCCCTATGCCTGTGCCCCCGCCCTGGGGGCATGCATGGGTCCTGGGCCATCTTTCTCCTTTGGAGGAAAGGGCCAGCCTTGGTGGTGGGCCAGGGAGTGTTGGGCGGGGGCAGGAGACCATGGAGGTGCTGATTGCCCGGACAGGTTACAGCATCAAATGTGAGTACACGGCGCACAAGGAGGGCGTCCTCAAGGAGGAGATGCTGCTAGCCTGTGAAGGTGGCGCAGGCACCTGTGTGCGAGTGGTGGTGCAGGCACGCGTCATGGGTGAGAGTGTAAGGCGTGCATCTGGCTAGGGGAGGGGGCGCCAGTTTGGCCAAAAGGGGATTCTGCCTTCCTCCAGTCTGAAAAAGGGATCCTTGCCCTGGCTGGGGTTCCCCACCTCCTTGGTGAGTGTCTTTCTCCCCACCCCCTAGTAGAGCCCAGAGACAAGGTGGAGGAGGTCCCCGTGGAGTGGGTGGGGCCAGGGGTCCAGGCTGGCATACTGACTTGTAGCCTGCCTTGCAGACCGGCACCATGGCACACCCATGCTGCTGGACGGTGTCAAGTGCGTGGGTGCTGAGCTAGAATACGACTCGGAGCACAGCGACTGGCACGGCTTCGACTGAGGCCCACATCCCAGCCCACCTCGGGGCCCCTCAGCCTTAATCTCCACCTCATTTCCCGAGTGCTGCATGATGGTGTGGCTTCCTCATCATTCCCGGAGTGGGCGTGGGGTGAGGTGTCTAGGGACCTCCAAGCTGGGGCCTCGCCCACGCCTCACCTCTGCCTTCATTGATGCCACCTCCCTGCCTCTCCTGCGTCCTCCTTTTCCCACTTCCTCCTCTCCATGTGCCTCAGTCTCCTGCGGGAAGAAATGGGTTGAGCCCCCAAGGAGGCTATCTGAGGAGGGGTGGGGGATGGGGAGGAACTGGGGTGGGTTTTATACACTCCCCCCACTCCCCCACTGCAAGCCATAGGAGCTCCAGCCAGGGACTGGGAGAGGAGGGAGCTGGCTCTGTGATGTCATCCCGTTACTGCTGCTGCTGTCTCATTTAAGCCACCTCTCCTGCCCCCTCCCTCTTCCCCACTGCTGTCCATGGTGAGTAGGAGGGAGGTGCAGTTCCCAGCTCCTGCCCCCAGGTGTGTGTTACTTGGTTTTTAAACAACTGGTTGGGATAAAACCCTAAAGAAATAAAATTTTCAGTGGATACCAGAGGCCAGTGGGATTTTTGTTCTTCGGGGCTCCGAGAATGCCCAATCCTTCGACAATGGACCAAGGAACAGTTCTGGCTACACTCATACTTGTAGGAGGCAAGGGCACTGTGTGCTAGTACAGCATCTAGCCCCCAAGAGCTGTCTACAGGTGATGGCATGTTAGGCCTGGGAATAGTTGCCAAGACAGTTTGGATGAGGAAGGGCCTTCTGCCCAGGCCAGAGAGAGGTCTTAGGGACTCCGGGAGTTCTGTTTCTGGTGCTTGATAAGACAGCAGCACCCTCTCCTGGTCAGTTCCGAGCTCCACACACAGCTGAAGGCTTTCTCCTTTATGGAACCCAGGCCCCTCGACCACACCACTGGGGTCCCCTCTTGTGAGGTACCAGCATAAATGCTTTATTGTCACTTTGTTGTCACCTCAGGCAGGTAGGGCTGTTGCGTGTCGTGGGCAGGCATTGAGTTGACTGGCAGAGCTGAGACCAGTCCTTCAAGTTCCCTCTGACCTCCTAGTGCACCCCCCTTCCCATTTTGTGGCTGGGATAGGGTTCAAGTGGGTCATTCACAGGTTGCCCTTGGGGCCTTCCCAGGCGAGCCATCTGTCCAGAAGGAAAGCCTGCCCCCAGCATGCTACCCCCACATTCCCTCATAAGTGCCTTCACCCTGTACCTTCCTTCTCATTAGCCTGCCACTGCCCTTTCTACAATTAACAGTCATATTTGGGTGGTCAGCACCACACCCCGGAAGGTCCCTCTTGTGTCAGCTTCCAGTCATTTTTCTGTGGCACAGGGCTGCTCTGCCCGGCTGCATGTGTGGGCTGAGCCCATCAATCAGTGCACTGGGCCCTCCAGCAAGCCTCCTTCTCGCTGCCTCTCCAGTTAACGGCCTTGCTTGGCCTCTCCCTCCCAACTCACCCCCCACCCCCACCCCACCCTCAGTTCAGGCTAGGGCCCAATCTTCTGGAGCATTCCGTCTTCAGAGTCACGTGTTCCCTGTGGGCGTGCTGACCAAGTCTTGACCTCAGCCTTTGGCAAAGCCCTTCTGCCTTACAGCCAGCGAACAAGGGCCCAATCCCAAAGCCAGAGACTGGATGTGTCCCCACCCACCCTCCTGGGACCTCATCTCCCGGGGCAGGAGGGTGGGATAAAGGGCAACGACATGAGAACAAAGACGTTTGTGCGCCCCTGCCAGGTCCCCAGCGCCCGGGACCGAAAGAGGGCCGGGTCGGACAGAGCCGGCCTGGCACTATGCCCGCGCGCCTTCAATTGGAAAGAAAGTCAATGGCGGCGCGCACCGAGCGATTGGTGCTGACGTCGACGGCGGTGACCTTAATCTCGGTGTCGCCAAACTGCATGGCAGTACGGATCTCGCGGCGACCGGGGGGCGCACCAGCGGCGTCAGGGCCACCGTCGGCGGTCGCGGGCTCGAGCTCGAGGCTGAGCGCGCCACACTTGCGCACGCCCGGGTCGGTGATGAAGCGCGCGTCCTCGGCGGCGCAGCAGTACAGGTTGATGAGCACGCGCCGCTGGCCTGGGCGCGCGGGGCAGTAGCTGCGACGCACCTCCTCGCCCAGGGCCACCGACTGCTCCGCGGCCACGAAGCGCTCAAAAACGTCAGTGCACCAGCGGCGGCCGTCGCGGACCAGCAGCTTGTCGGGCGGGTGGCGCCCGTCCACGAAGCGGTTGAGCACGCCCACGCCGTAGGTGAGCGGCGAGCGGCGCACCCGCACCACGCCGGGCGCCTGCCCGAACAGCACGGCGCCCTTGAGGATGGTGAGGCCCACGTCGTGTGGGACCACCACGCGCAGGCCGCGGGGGCCCAGCGCGGCCTGCACCGCGTGTTGCAGCACAGCGGACTCCGCGAAGCCGCCCACCAGGAACAGCAGCTTAACACCCTGCACCTCCGGCCGCGCCAGCAGCGCCTCTGCGGGATGGGGTGGATGTAAGGAGGAGGTAAGGGGAGGAGAGGGACAGCTCGAGCTGCTGAGGCCACCACTGCACGGCCATGGGCACCTCCCCTCTATCTGCCTGACAATGAGAAACTAGCCGTTTTAACTGTAAAACAGTTGCCCGGTTTTGGTGAAAAACACAGCACTTCACTGAGTGCTGCTAGCGATCCTCTCGTGCTCTGCCTCCCCAACAGTGCACCCCTCCTCCCACATGGAGGGCCTGAGAGAAGGATCTGCACCTGTTAAAGGTATACTGCCTGCAAGACATTGAGGTCACTCTCTAGATACCGCAGCTCATTTAAATCCCTGTGACAAGTTTTGGGGACCCAATACTATCAATGCATTTTATAAACAGGAAAACTGAGGCACCAGAAGTTAACCTGGCAAGACTACACATCACCTTAATTCCCAGCCAGGTGTTCCAGGTGGTTCTCAGTCTCATTCCAGTGTACTGATGTGTGGTTTCAGGCATTAAAAGTGGCAGTTGTTCCCGCACCTGGGTGTGTACGTGGGCGTACACAGAGGGCCCAAGCTCAGGCACTCACCTATGTGATGGATGATCCCGCTCACCGTGGGCTGAAAGAGCTCGTTCATGGCCTCACAAGACATCCTGAGCATCCCCTGTGAGGACCATTTCACGAAGTTCACACTGCAGGTGAAGGGGGCACAGGACCATGTCAGGGTCCTGAGTCCCACTGCTGCTCCAGGCCGATGTGTCTGGGCACTAACTGCACGTTGTGTGTTATCCCAGCCCCACTCTCCCAGGGGCTTTAGCTAGGGCCTGCTTCTTGCCCCAGTTGGGGCCGCATATTCTAGGTGGGCTATTTTCATGCTCCGCCCCCTGCCGCCAGGCTGGCTAGAGGAGCGCCAGCTGTGCTTTAGGCTGACTCCCACCGCTCCCTGCGGCCCACTCCCTCCCTTGCAGGGGCATTCCCCATCCCGACACCCTGCCTGAGCCGTGGCCCCCAGGCCCACCTGCTCCTGCGCAGGGCTGTCTCCACGTTGTGGCCTCGCTGCTTGCGGTAGAAGTCGATGAAGGAGAAGGGCAGTGAGATGTTGAGCGCCCCCGCACGGTGAGGGCCTGCCGTGCGTTTGCGGGCTTCGAAGGCGATGGTCAGATCCACCCAGGCTGCTGGCCGTTGCCTTTTGAAGGTGGTGATGAAGTCTACGCCGAAGATGCGACCCAATAGCTGCTCGAAGGCCAGGTCCACGCCCACAGCGCCATAGGGGCCACCTGAGGTGGGGCAGGGGTGAAGGGGAACATCAATGCAGACCCCGCATTCAGGGGCTGTTGGCAGGCTGGGTATGAAAGGCGCTGCCTGGCTATTCACCCGACGCCTTGTAGAGCTCCTTGAGGGTGCCATGGGGCTGCTCCAGCTGGTGCACGGTTAGGTCCACCGTGCCTCCTCCACAGTCTGCCACCACGTAGCGGTCTCCTGCAGTGGTAAGCATGGGCACACACTCGTGGCCTGCTTTGCACCCTCGGCCCCACACCCCCTCCTCACCACCCTCCAGCCCTGCCCCAGGTCCCGTTTTCTTGCGGGTGTGGTGATGTGGAGTGTGAGGCTTCAGGGTGCTTGAACTTAGCTAAGGCCACCTGGTAGGGGCACAAGGTGAGTGTGTGAAAATGGTCTGGGGCATTGCAATTCCATCTGCAGAGAACCCCTGGAAGGGGCGTGAGTTAGGGGCTGTGAATGGGGTGAGGGTGCAGGTGACTGAAGGGGCAGCTGGGTTAGGTACAGCAGATGTTGGAGGGAGGGGCAGGGTTTCTAGGGGCTGGAGCCAACTGTGAATGTGTCCTTCCCCCTCTCAGTATATGGTGCCCCATAAGCCCAAAGCTTATCCCGCCATCCCCCCATCTCCTCACCCGCTTGCATCTCTGCCCAGAGCTCCCCGACCCCTGACTCCACCAGGAACGTGCGGCTGTGGCGGGACCTTCTCAACTGCTCACGGGCTGGGGGTCAAGGGACAGCAGGACGGAGAGGTTAGAAGAAGGTGTCCCAGCTATCACACTCAGTCCTCATCCTCCCACCAGTGCCCTCCGTGAACATCTGGAGCAGCCAGTGTTCCTGAAACCTCCACTCCTAAATGGGAGAGGGCAGTGGACCCCCAACGGCCTGGAGAAACCTGATGGGATCATCTCATGCTCTGTAACCAACAGCTGAGGGGTCGTCTTTCTGGCTACAGGACCAGGGCTCGGGTTGTGGCAAAATTAGGGTTAGAAGGGTGTGAAGGAGCTGTGCGTGTGGGCAAGGTAGGTCTTGGGGGATCCAGGGAGCTCAGGACTTGGAACCTCTCCCTGTCACGGTAAACAAAGTTGACCATAGCTGTCCCAGTGCCTGGCCCTGGCAGCAGGAGCCCCAGGCTGATGTGTCAGGAAGGGAGGGGAGGGTTCAGTGGTTGTTTGGGGGAAAGTTCCTGAAGACCTCCCCTTTAGCTCAGAGTGGGGGCTGATGTCCTCCTTTGTCAGCACCCCCACCAGGGTAGGCTGTCTCCCCAGACTCCCAGCCTCAGGGCAAGGCTGAGTCCTGCTCTCCTCAGACAGTGCTGCCTTGGGACAAGGTGAAACCTCTGCCCTCAGATTGGGCTCCCCCAGGTCAGGGCTGTGTCTCCTCATTCAGACTGAACTCCAGGTTGGGTATTTCTGCCCTCTCAGATTGGGCTTGTCCAGAGCAGGGGGGCCTCTCCTTCATGCTGGACAAAGCTGAGCCTCTGGTCTCCGTGACCCTGGAGGTGGCTCACCTTGCCGGAAGCTGGAGTCGATGGAGCGGCGCTCCCCCAGGTGCCCTCTGCCTGGAGCCCGGCTGCTCAGGTCTAGGAGCTGGTGCAGGCGCAGTTTGCGGCAGTAGACAGAGGCGGCCTCAGGCTCCAGGGCGATCAGTAGTTGCTCCGCGTTCTCTCTGGACACCAGGCCGGCCTGGGGATGGGTGGAGGTAGGGCCAGGAGCACCATTGGCTAGCACACCTAAGATGGCACCCGGGGCAGGCAACCAGGGCCTGTGGGGCTCCCACCTCCTCCCCATCACACCCCACCCAAGCTAGGCCTCTCAGGCCCCTCCATGCTGCACAAATTTGGGGCTGACTCACAGTCACCCTGTGAATAAGCTGGGCAGGAGCATGGCCACAGCCGAGAACACCGTGGGGTTGCCCAGCAGGACGAGACCCCAGACAGAGTGAAAACCTACAGCACCTGGAATCTGCCCCTCTGAGCTGCCCAATGTGGCCTGGGCTGCAACAAGGTCCCTTTCACAGGAACAGGGCTGGTTGGCCAGCTGGGCACTGAGGGTGTTAGTGGGAACTCTACGATAGTGCGTGTGTGTATGTGTGTGTGTGTGTGTGGGGGGGGGTAAGTAATGGGCAGACCATCAATCAAAGGAGATGGTGGGAGGCTCCCTTTGCTTCACTGAACCCTCCTTCACCAGGCTAGTGTCAGACAGTAGCCACTCCCAGGAGAACTTTGTTCCTGGAGAATCCAGTGTAGGAGGAAGGAAACTTTAACAGTGAAATTCCAGGCACCAAGACAGACCATTTAGGGGGAGAAAAACACTTAGGAGCTGTTACTTCCTGCATCAGGACAGGGGAATCCCTGTGAAACGTTTATAGGTTTTATGGGATTCCCTGAATTCTGACCAGTGGGCAATGGGGAGGGGTAGGTATCGAGTCTTCCTGCCCAGGGCCAGCCCTTCCTGAGCTGGCAGCCAGGGAACAGTGTGGGAGGAAGCAGGATGGCAGGGGGAGGGGCATTATGGTTGGAGGGTGTTTGTTCTGGCTGGGCACAGCCTCGCTTTCATTCTGGCCTTTGCAGGGGGATGCCCACTAGGCTCAGGGTTTTCTCCTTCCAGTGACAAATGTAGGTACCTGGGGCATGACTCACACATTGGTGTACTTGTAGGTTGGGGGCCCTGCTCTCCTCCAGGGGGTCTACAGGCAGGCCTGAGATTCCTTCTGTAGGTCCTAGGTTGTCCTCCAAGGCCCCAAGGTCAAGACCAAGCAATGAGTCTTGTTCCGGAAGGCTACGTTCTCTTCTTTCCCCATCTCTATTGGAGAGGGGATGTCTGAGCTGTACTCTTCCTTTCTCCAAAACTTTGGGTATCTCTTATGGTAGGAAAACCAACAAACATTGACCCAGATCACCTCCCTTCATAGTTTATTGTCCTATTTCCTGTGCTCAAGAATTTACAGTGGTTGGGGCCGTGGTGGTGGGGTTCCTGAAAATGCTGATGCTGGTTGGAGTGGATGTTCTCGGTGCCCTGCCCAGCTACTGGCAGTGTCGGCTGCTATTGGCTCACAGCTGCCCCCTTCTCTGGAGAGCTGCCCCCTGCTGAATGGGGACCACCTCATTTGAGAGGATCCCCTCTCCCCAGTAACCAGTGACACACTGACACGGATGCACAAAAATTGGCCCCCTTGCCTCACCGTGGCCAACTTTGGGGTACAGTTCTCCCTGCACAGTTCTCCATGGGACTAGGCCGAGGCCAGACTCCAGTTGAGACCACATCCCTGCTCAGCTCTTTCTCCTGTCCTGCTCCCCTCACCCCGTCTCCTGAGAGCCCATCTTCAAGAGACCAACGTACAAGAATCGCCATCCTGGGCTCTGCTTTAGGAAACCTGACAAGACACTGGCTACGCTGGCCTGGCTGAGCCTCTTGTCCCTCGGCCCTCTGTTCCTGCAGCCCCCACCCGCAGGGGCAGCAAACCTCCACAATGCCCAGCAGGGAAAGGCTGGAGGTCTTCACACAATGAACCTTTGGTCCCAAGGGTGGTGGAGTGAATGAGGGTATGGGGCCGTCCCCGCGGCCCTCCCGAGCACGTCCTCTGCCTGCGTGTCCTCACCAGGTAGGCAGCCTCCCGCATGAACTGCTTGGCTGGCTGTTTCCAGATGGCGGGCACCGTCAACACCCAGCGCACAGTGTCCTTCTCTGGCAGCGATGGGCACTGCTCTCTCAGTTCCTGGAGCAGGAGCAGGCAGTGAGATGAACGGCTGGCTTGAGGTAGGGGTGTCAGCCCTCTATGGGAGCTGGAAGAACTAGTCAAGCCTCAGGAAGGACTTCCCATAGAAGTTGGGAAAACCCCAACCACTCCCTGCTCCACCAACACGGACGTGGCCCATGCAGGCTCTACCAGTGGAGAAGATGACCTCTAACCTCTGACAGTGGCTACCCATCAGATGGGCAAGGGGTGAGCTAAGGGGAAGCAGTGGGCCTGGGGGTCCCTTGGCCACCATGGCCAGGGGAGGGGTCGCAGTGCACCTGAAGGGCATGCTCTTTGAAGAAGCGCAGGGCATGAGCGAACACCTCCAGGGCAGGCATTTTCTTTCCATTTACTGCCTCCAGCTGGGTCTTCAAGGTGAGATCCTGGCAGGGACACAGGGCGACTCTGCAGAAGGCCATAGTTCTGCCCCCATTTCCTGATGACCTCTCTCTTAAGATCACCCCGGTTCCTGGTGCTTACCCTCTTGGGCATCATCCCACTCTCTAATCTCACAGGCCAGTTCTGTCCTGGCCCCTCTTTAGCCCTGTCCATCCTCTAACCCTATGCTCACTCCCAGTCTTCATCCCTTTACTTCCAAGCCCGCCCCATTAGCCACTACACCCTGCCCCTCCTCCCCTTTTAGCTCTGCCCACCCTCCATTCAGCTGCTCCTTCCCCTCCTGACCCTGCCCCCCTGGCAGGAGCCGGTCCTGGGCCGTAAGTGACTTACAGTGGCACTGTGGATCTTCATCTTGAACTTCTCGAAGTAGAGCCAGTCCCGAGCCTCCTCGGGGTCCAGATCGTGGTAGTAATCACGGGCAGTGTAGCCAAAGCTGTGAAAGGCCCCCTCTGGGGTCAGCAGGAGGCAGGTCGGGGTCTTCTGGTGCGCCACACCTGGGTCCCCACCCTCCCATTTCCTGCAGAGACACAGGGCTATCAGTGGGGTCAGCAGCAACCCTCTCTTCAGGGGGCTGGGTGATGGCTCTGGGATGAGCTGTGTGATCTTGGCAGGCCACTTAGCCTCCCCCAGGCTTAGTCTTCCCACCTATAAAATGGGAATAATAATAGTACCTGCCTCTGGGTTCTTGTGAAGATGAAGATGGTGCTTGGCATCCAGTTAAATCTCCATGAATACTGCTCTTGGGATCCTTCCTATCCATGGGGCCAGGGTATCCATCTGACACCCCTGGTTCCGCTCTCAAGAGGTATACCGTTTGACCTCGCCTCCTTGCACCCTTAACAGGCAGCAGCAAGCCATCATCCTTCTGCCTGCGTCTGGCTTCCTGAGGTGACCCTCCAGCACCTAGCGGAGGCCTCCTCCCAGCCAGCCATTTCGCTCTGCTCATGGCTGTCTTCCACAGCCAAGCTCCTTCAAGGCATTCATGACATGCCTATCTGACCTCAGCAGCTACACCCCAGCTGACTGCACTTCTGCCAGGCCCCCCAAAACCTGAATGAGATTCCAAACTCCCCTATCCATAGGCACATCCAGACCTCCACCCAGAGCTCCCTGCCCAGTTCTCTGACCTGGCAGATCCTTCCCCCTTCCTCACTGTTCCCTGATGCCCTGGCGCCCCGAGGCCAGGCTTGCCACTGTGGCCCTTTGGGGAAGGAACTGGGAACCCAGGCAGAAGGAACAGTATGTGCAAAAGCTTAGAGGGTGGAAGAACAGGAGAACTAGCCGTAGGTTTGCTCACTGCAGCAGGAGAAAATACAGGAGTGTTAAGGTCAGCTGAAGAACAGCCGATGCCATATCAGAATTCTATCTTGGTGGAGTTAGGTTGAGACATGACCACATTGGCCTTCAGAAAGGTCACTGGTCCCACATGATCTCACTTATTTGTGGAATATAATGAACACAACAGCCTGAGGAATAGGGTAGACCCAGAGACGTGGAAGTAGGGTACAGACTGACAACCCTCAGAAGAGGGGGTGGTGGGGAAGGGAAGAGATAAACCACAGAACTTATATGCATGTACCCATAACCAATGAACATGGACAACAAAGCTGGGGACAGTGGGGGGAGGGTAATGGAGAGGAGGGTGTCAATGGGGAGAAAAAGGAAAAACACCTATAACAAAAATAAATTAATAAAAAGAAAGGTCACTGGTCCCCATGTAGCAACAGACTGGAGGGAAGGGAGGATGGGGGAAGAAAAGCTATCCAGGGGAGAGAGGGTGGTGACCGTGGAGAGAAGTGGATGGGTACTCCAGAGATACTAGGGAGACAGAAATGATGGGACTTGGTGGCTGGTAGGGGTGGAGAGGGCTTGGGAGGAGGTCAGGATGCTCCCCATTGACTTTCTATCACTGTCACCTCCACAGGACAGAGACAATGTCCCTTCACATGTCCTTGGCTCCAGCATGGGGCCAGCATGGCCTCAGCGGCTGTGTGCTCACTCCTGGAAGGCTGTGCAAGCTCAGAGCCTCTATGATTTCATGTGGATGTGGAGGGAGCAGGAAAGGGGACAGCAGTCCAGGCTCAAGAAGGTCAAGGCCCTGTATCTTTGGGACAGTGACCTTTCTATCTGTCTCTCAGTCCACCCTTCCATCCAGCCTGCCGGGCCTGGGGAAGCCTCCTGCTCCCCAATTCCGTCAGGGTGGGAGCCTTGGGGGTCTTCTATAGCTCCACCTAGTGGCGGCACCCCACTAAGATACATTCTGAGGATCAGGATCTGCAGGTCTGAAGGCAGTATTTAAGGAAATGTTTCGTTCAAATAAAACTTGACACCAGAATGGATTTTTCGAACTCTTCATCATAACTGTGGGACTTGTGTCAACTTGATTAACCCTCTGATCCTTCATGTCCTTGTTCTTCATTTGAGAGGTTGGACCTAGGAATCTGCCTCTAGGAATCTACTCCATAGAAACCCCAGCACACGTTTTCAAGGAATGCACAGCATTTCTTTTAACAGTAAAAAATTAGAGAACCTCGCCTTAAAAAAAACAAAAACAAAACAAAAACTATCAAGAGAAGAAAGGATAAATTATGACACATCCATACTATGGAACACTATTCAAATGTTAAAAGAAAATGGAGGCCCTGGCTGGTTTGGCTCAATGGTTAGACGTTGGCACATGGACCGAAGGGCTGCAGGTTCAGTTCCGGTCAAGGGTACATACCTGGGTTGTGGGTTCGAACCCGGGCCCCAGTTGGGGTCGTGTGGGAGGCAACCAGTCGATGTGTACCTCTCACATTGATGTCTCTCTCTCTTTCTCTCTCCCCCTCCCTCCCTTCTACTCTCTCTAAAAATCAATAGAAAAATATCCTCAGGTAAGGATTAACAAAGAAAAAAAAGTGGTAGCTATGTATTGACATGACATGTCTACAAAATAGTGTTGGAAGTTTAAAATAAGGCAAAGTGTATGATATCCCACTTTTATTTTAAAAACACACATATATACATATGTGTGTATGTGTTTGTATACAAGTCCAGATATTTATTTTACTATATGTTTGTTATATCTCAGTAAAATGTTTTAAAATTAAAAATGGAGCCCAATATTTCCTGCAGAGGGTAGGGAGCTGCTCCAATAAAGGCTGGGGCCCAGGCCTGGGCCAACCCCAACCGTTTACCCCAGAAGGGAGCCCAGACTCGGAGTGGAAGGCGCTCTGAGGGTACCCCATGTCTCCTCAGTGAGAGTACTTCTGGGACCAGGCCCATCCCAGGGTGTGAGAACGCATCCTCCCCAGCCCCCATCTCCCAGCTCAGCGGCCCTCACCTCATCATGTGGATGGACTCAGGGTCACTGGCAAAGCTGAAGGCATAGCCACTGGAAGTGGTACCGAAGTCAATGGCCACCACCACAGAGAAGGAGGCCTGCTGGGGGGCTCGGGCCTCAGGCTTCTGCAAGTGCAAGACCTAGAGTTAGGGGGCAGCCCAAGGGCCAGGCTGACTGGACATGGGAGCCCCGCCCTCCCTGGGCTGCGGTCCAGCCAGCCCTGATTCACCCCCACCCACCTGCCTGCCTGCCTGGGCTTCCCTCCCTTCCCAGGCTCCAGGCTGATCCCTGGAGATGTCAACCGCCTCTCAGGTAGCTCTGTGCAGCTTTCAGCTCAAACTCCTGCTTTCCTGCTTCTGGTTCTCTGCCCATCTTCTGTCTGCACAGCCTTAGCTCCACCCCCATCTCACACCATTTCAACCCGGCCCAGCTGGGAGCAATTATGCTCCTCCTGGCAGCTTCCCAGCACATGGACCTGTGTATATTTGACCCTCTTGCTCTTTGTGGCCACAGTGACACAACCAGACTGTCGGTTTTATGGCAGAGGAGAGAGGCCCTGTGCACATGCCCAGAGTGGTCCCTGCCTTCTAGGCCAGGCCTGGGCTCCCTGAGAACAAAGGGGTCCCCAGGCTGGATAACTCGGGGTAGGCCATCTGGTGGGGGAGGGTGACCCAGGGAGCTTAGAGGAGGGTTATGTCCTGTTATGTCCTGGACACTTCAAGCTAGTACTTTCCAAACTACTTTTTAGCAGCGTGTCTCCTCGTGCCCAGATATATTCAGGTAGGGCTATAGTTGACGAGGGAGAGGGGGGCTACTCTGGGAGGGCCAGTGCAGACCTTGAAAAACTGCATGCTCAGAAATACACCTGCCCTGGGTAGGCTGGCTGCAGGGGCCTGGAGGTCGTCCTGGAGGGGGGTGTCTGGGTAGTAGTACATGGGGCTCACCTCAGTAGAACCGTTACCCCTATGTTTCAAGGTCACCTAAGGTTAACCCTTCTGCAGAGCATGACTGGAGTGTGCTGGGGCAGGCGGCACGGTGGCACCCCCGGCTCAGCCCAGGCCCTTCCAGGTCTTGCTCTCTGGGCACCCCCCCCCTCCATGCCACCCAGGCCACCCACATCCCAGATCCCCACTCCAGGCTTACAGGAGACTGTGAAGGTGTGAGGGGGGCAATGCCACAGCTTTCCTGGGTCCTTGGGGAGCCGGGGGGGCTGGGAATGGGGGACCGCTCTGGGCTGGAGCCTGCAAAGAGAGGGTAAGTCATTCTGGCACAAGCAGGGTAGGGAGTTGGCAGCTGGGCCCCAGGTCTGGGAGGTTCGCCCATCAGTCCTTGCTGGGCCAAGGCAAGGGGGGACCCGCTGAGGAAGGAGGGCAGGGTGGGAGGGAGGAAGAACGAGACTGAGGCAGGAGCAGGCGAAGGGCTAATTATCAGTTAGAAGTGACCATCCCCATGCCTGGAGGATAACATGCCTCACCTGGGGACTCCTCATCTCCCCCAGAGCCCCTCAGAAACAATGGGCGAGGGGAGAGACAGAGAAGCATTAAGGGGGTGGAGGAGACTGAGTTCAGAGATAGAAGAGCAAGAGAGATGGGGTGGGTGAGTTCCTGCCTGGGGTGGCATGGAGGGTGGAGAAACCAGAAAAAATGGGGGAACTACAGACCTAACTGCTCCCTTCCCCCTAGAGTTCATGGTTCTAATCAGAACCTGAAGGAGCAGCCCTCCCGCCCGCCACCCCTTATGCCCACCAAGCGCCCAGGACAGGCCCAGCTGGCTGCCTGGTGAGGATCAAGGCAGGGCAGCACCTCTCCAGCCCAGCCCTGAGCTCAGGGGTGTCCACAAAAATAGGAAGTGAATCCCAAGCCTCCCCCCACAAAATACATACACCTGGAGCCAGCACTGGGGGGCATGAGGCCCCAATGAGACTCTCTCCCAGGCCCAGGACTGAGCTGGACCTTTGGTGGGAGAAGCAGCGCAGCCTCCAGAAGGCAGCCCAAAGCCGGCTTGGAGCCTCAGGCAGCTCAGGGGTCTGTCTGGCTAGACGTCCCCGAGGTGTGGGCTGGTGGCCTGTCTCCACCACACTGGGCTTTGCTAGGTCCCCTGTGAAGAGGACTGGGGCTGCCCTGAGATTCATGCATGGGGATGGGGAGGCTGATAGGGTCTGGCATGAAGACCCAGGGACAAAGCAAACTGGTCTGTCTGGCTTCCGGCCGAGCCAGGGCCCAGGGCCTCTGCTCCCTCAGCGGCTGCCCTGGTGTGCAGCCCTGACAGCTTCCAGCCCTTCCTGACCTTGGAGTACCCTGGGAGGGGCAGGAAAGGAAGGGGACTCTAGAAAGCACCCAGACAGGGCTGGAGTCTGTCTTGGGGTGCTGGAGAGGCAGAGACATGGTGGTCACACCCTCAGGCGGCCCTCATGGGCTTAGGCTCTGTCACCAGCTCCAGCTTAAGGGGCCAAGTCGCTATGTGGCTTGCGCCTGGGAAGGGAGGCAGGAAGGAAGGCCCAGCCCACCAGGTCTTTGTGAGTGGACTTCCTGAGGAGTGTCCCTCCTGCCTCCTGGCCTCCCACCCCTGCAGAGAGGCCACAGACAGATGCACACTCACACACACACACACACACACACACACACAGAATTCTGTGCACACAGACCTACTTGCATACATACACACTCTCACACAAGGCCCTGTGCACAGAGATCTGCCCTCAGGCAGACAGATGGACAGATACATACGCACACTCACACCAGGTCCTGTGCACACAGACCCTACACAAAACATGCTCATGCATACAGTCCTTTGCACACAGAACTGCTCTGCACACACACACTAACAGGCAGAGGGGGTCCCAGGAGCAGACGTGTCCTGTGAGCTCGTGCTCGCAGCACGCAGAGCGGGGGGTGGGGTGGGGGTGTTCTTACCGATGTACAGCCCCTGCAGGCCCAGCTCCGGCACAGCCAGCATCTTTGCAGGCCCTGTGGCTGTGAACAGGAACAGACATGCAGAATGGCATTTATTTGTTCCTTTGTTTCCTCACTGAATGCTTATTTGTTTACTTTTAGCTGGAGTCCTTTGAAGCAAATCCCAGACATCATGTTATTTCACCTATAAATTCTTTAGTATGTCTCTCCAACAAATAAAGACTTTAAAAAACGTAGTCACAACACCATTATCATGTGTAACAAAGTCAACAGTAATTCCTTAATCTCATCTAATGCTCAGTTCCACAGTCCCAGCTTGTCTCAAAAAGGTCTTTTTAAAAAATATGTTTCTGTTGGTTTCTTTTTGTTTTTGAGAGAGAGGAACGGAGAGATAGAAACATCGATGTGACAGAGAAACATCGACCTGCTGCCTCCTGAATGCCCCCTACTGGGGATCGAGCCCGCAACCTGAGCATGAGCCCTGACCAGGAATCGAACTGGGACCACTCAATCCATGGGGCAATGTTCAATTCACTGAGCCACACCAGCCGGGCTCAAAAAGGTCTTTTTAACAGTTGCTTTGTTGGACTCAGGATGCTCCTGTATGTTCTGGGTGCCCACTCTGTGCCACGTGTTGGGGGACATCAGAGACCCAGAGAGACACTGTCTCTGCCCCAGGGGCCCACAGTGCGGGGGGCTGATTATAATCAGATAATTACCCAAGTGGACTTGAGTTTACAGATGATGCCCTCAAGGTCACGGCTGGATACCAGTGGGGCAGAGGGGAGCATGGTATGGCCGTAGAGAGGGGCTGGGCTGGCCTGACCCTGCCGGCAGGCCCTCGTGGACCTCATTTTAGATTTGGTTTTACATGAAGGGCAACAGCGAATCTTGAAAGGTCTGAAGTGGCAGAGTGGAGGTGGGGGCATGACTAGATTTGCATTTTGAAAGGTCCCTCTGGCTGCATGGGCTGTGGATTGCAGTGGACAACATGGAAGCAGAGGCCCAATCAGGGCTCCAGGCGACTGATGATGGTCATGGCTGTGTATCCTGAGACAGAAGTGGAGGTTAAAACCAACAGGGCTGTTGGAAGATGGCTGGATTGGTTATGGAGGAGGTTGTCAAGGATGACATTATCTGATTCAAACTAGCAGATGGGTGGTGAGATGGAGACCACTGGAGAAGGGCAGGCTTGCAGGAGGGAAGGGGCAGTGCTCTGGGTGCAGTTCTGAAACTCCTGATGGAGAGACCAAGGAGCCAGAGGATGTAGGACCTAGAGATCAGGGAGAAGCTACGGTGGAAATGTGCGTCTGGGGTCACAGGCAGAGAGCAGAGTATGAGGGGGAGGGACCTGTGCATAAAGGCTGACTCCAGGAAGGTGGGCTGGCCACAGAGACCAAGATGCCTGCTCTGGTTTCATGACATCTCAGTTGTTAGATGAGATTGGAAACCTGTTTGAATGGCTCAGGGCCGCATTTAGGTGGAATGATGGGGAGGGGTAGGAGTCAGGTAAGCCCAGGCGAGGAGAGGGCAGAGGGTGAGTGAATGGAGCTAGCACTTAAGCAGTGGTTCTCAACCTTCCTAATGCCACCACCTTTTAATACAGTTCCTCATGTTGTGGTGATCCCCAACCATACAATTATTTTCATTGCTACTTCATAACTGTAATTTTGCTACTGTTATGTCTTAGGTGACCCCTGTGAAAAGGTCATTTGACCCCCAAAGGGGTCGCAACCCACAGGTTGAGAATCGCTGTTACAGGAAGGTGGTTGAGGTCAGGAGCTGAAGTATGGGCAGTACCCAGGGGAACACAAAGCTTGAGGACAGTGCCCTGGCGGTTAGAGCATCAGCCCTTGGACCAGAGAGTCCCAGGTTCGGTTCCTGCTAAGGGCATGTACCTCGGTTGCAGTTTGTCCCTGGCCCTGGTTGGGGTTGTGTGGGTGGCAACCACTTGATGTGTCTCTCTCACATTGATGTTTCTCTCTCTCTCTTCCTCCCTCTCTCCCTCCTGCTCTATCTGAAGATAAATGCAAAAATGTCCTTGGGTGAAGATAAAAAAAAAAAGCTTGAGGAGAGCTGCCCAGAGCTCACTCCCTCTCCGTAGCCAGTGGCCTTATCAGGAAGTTTTGCTAATAGAATACCGACAGACACAGAACTGGGCACTGCCCCCCACCCTGCTCATGCCCAGTTCACACAACTCAGCCTCATCATGCACAGACATTCAGACACGCCCAAGATACTCTCACATGGCCAGTACCATGGAGATTTCCAGACACACTCAATCCTGCTGTCACTGGAGGTTCACAGTTGGATGCCCAGGAGTCAGGGGGCACCTGGATGATGTGGCTCAGTGGTTGAGCGCTGACACATTCTCCAGGAGGTCACTGGTTGGATTTCTGGTCATGGCACATGCCCAGGTTGTGGGCCCGATCCCCAGTGGGGGGCATGCAGGAGGCGGCCAATTGATGTTCTCTCTCATCGATGTTTCTATCTCTTCAGAAAATCAGAATCAGTGGGAATGATAGGGGCTGGTCATGGGCACTTGTACAGCAGGTGGGTGATGCTGAGGAAAGGGAAAGCAAATAGACCCTTGAGAGCCAGGGACAAGAACCCAGTTCAGGGTGATGGAGTGGCATGCTTGAACTGGTTCCCACCAGTTGGCAAAAACTGATTCTGTACATCTCTTCCTAATTCCACATTCATTGACATCACATTGGTGGCTCAAAACCAGCCATGATGGGAGCATTTACACCACAGAAATAGGAAAACACTACAACTCAGGATTTTCTCCCTTTTGCAGAATTGACTGTAAAACATTGGATCAAGGACACAAGGGAGAGAAGCTGGCAGCCCTATTTGTACATTGTTTCGATTCTTTAGCAAAAATTTATTGAGCATTTCTTTATGCCAGGTTCTGAGTTAAGGGCTGGGGAAACACTTTGTTGAATGAACAAATGGATTTTCTGGACCAATACTACTGTATCTGGAGGAGAAACGATCTAGAACCACCAGGAGAGAAGAGTCAAGAGTCATCACTCTAACTGGGGGATTCCACGTCCAAACTGGATGCCTATAATCCCCCTAGCTGTCTGAAGCTGGTCCGGTTACCTCCCATCTCTGGGTATGTAATTCACTCAGTGCCCCGCACTGGGGTCTCAGGGCTGGCAAGGGCCTACAATGGCAACTGGCTGGAGTATGTCCTGTTGTCTCTGTGCCCCAGTGCCTTTCCTGCAAAATAGGTCACACAGGTAGCTGGTGAGAGTCAATTTCAGGTAAAAAAAAAAAAAAAAAAGGTGCTTGACAAAGGGCAGAGAGTTAGACAGATGTGAGTAGTGTTCTTTCTCTTCATGATGTGGATTCTGAATTTTCTCTTGTTAGAATATTTTGGTCTTATCGAGAGTTTATTCTAGTCATTCTGCATTTTTTAGGGAGGGATGGAAGACCAGAATCAATTTGTGTTAAAGAAGGAGGATCCTGCCCTGGCCAGTTTGGCTCAGTGGTTAGAGTGTCGGCCCGAGGACCAATGAGTCGCGAGTTTGATTCTGGCCAAGGGCATGTACCTCAGTTGTGATTCGTCCCGCCCTGGTTGGGGTCACGTGGGAGGCAGCCACTCGATGTGTCCCTTTCACATCAATGTTTCTCTCTCTCTCTCTCCCTCCCACTCTATCTGAACAAAAATGGAAAAAAAGTCCTCGGGTGAAGATAAAAAAAGAAGGAGGATCCTGCTCATTTCTTGAGAGGTGAAGGTAGAAGAGCGTGACAGCCCCATCTGTCTTCGGGACACCCCCTCCCCCCATCATGCACTTATACCCAGAACCATTTAAGGAGAATTCTGACCATGTAGCTCAGGACAACCTCAGTTCCCAAAAACTATGTGTGGGCAGTCCACGGCTGAAAATGGAGTGAGGTAGACCATGCCCCAGGGGTTCACCAATTTCAGACTGCTGATGCTTGGGTTTGAGAATAATTGGGTGGGGCGGTCTGATTTATGCAGAAAGAAACTTCATTTCCTGAGTACAAGTGCAGGTTAAACTCTGCCCCAACCTGATCCCTACACTACCCTACCTACAGACTCAGATCCTTAACTCTGCCCGTGGACTGACCTATCCTTGCCTGTGGACTAATGACCCCTAGCCCTTGACCTCATGTCGACCTCTAATCTTCAACTTCACCATAACTCCTAGCACTGACTTCTGTTCAATAAGTATGATTTATCAGTTATTGTGGATCAGGACAGGGTGTGGCTGAGTAGGGCCTCAAAACTGGAGACTCCCATCCTAGAGTGTCCTCAGAATCACAAGGCCTAGGATTTCTTGCCTGATAGAATTCTCCAAGGATCTATTCCTAGGGTGGAGATGTCAAGGCTGGGTACTTATGCCCCCAGAGCACCAGGGGCATGCGATGTTGGATTTCAGGGCTCCACACATACCTGTTCTCTGCTGGTGAGGACAGAGAGCCCACCCGGATCTTCACAACTCCCCTCTCCCCCCACAGGTTTCCAGCTTCTCCCACCCACTGCTCAGCATCCTGCCAGCCCTTTAACAGCACAGGACTGGACTCTCTCTCGCCAGGCAAAGAGAGGCCACAGGCATTTCTCTCAAGCCAGAGATTGGGCCAACCAGGGCCAAGGAGACAGATCAGAAACCCCAAAGAGCGGCTCCAATCTGTCTCTGGGACAGGGGTGACATAAATGGCCTCTTGAGGCCCCTCCCGTTCTCAATGATTCTTTCCATACATCCTGCTCCACCCCAGTGGGTCCCCATCATGGGAGCAGCCAGTTCACAAACAACCTCTGCCCCACATAGCCCAGGCCCTGAAGCCCCTCCCATCCGCGGCCCATCAGTCCATCACCTCCCTCACCTTCTGGGGCTCCAGGGCTGCCTTTGCCCTCACAGGGAGTCTATATTTTAGGGCTTAGTCCCTCCCAGTCTCTCTCCGCCACACCAGCCCCACTGCCCTGCAGGGAGCCCAGACCCCACCCCACCTGGACCCCGAGGCTAGCCTCACAGAGAGAAACCAGAGTCCTAGGTCAGGAGGCCAGTCCACACTCTGGAACTGTGGCACCCTGGCCACCCAGCCATTCTAGAACTTCTGGGACCACAGACCCTGGGAGGTCCCCCCATACGGGAGGTCCCCCCATACCAGATGCCCCCCCCAACACACACACACACACACACACACACACACACACACACACAGATACCTACTTGAGTCTAGGCACCGCTGCTCCACAAATTGGCCCCTGGAGCAGCCTCCAGCCCCACACCAGTCCCCAACCCCCAACAGCAAGGAGTCTCTCGGTCCCTCACTCTGCAGAGCGTGTGTGGGGTCCCACAGCCTGGAGGGGAGCCCACAGGCACAGTCCCGCTGGAGAGGGGCTTACAGATTGTCCCCCACCCGGCCCCTCGGGCTCAGGAAGTTTGTGGTGGGGTCTCAGCCGACAGCCCAGGCGGGGATCGCCCGGGGCAGGATGGCTAACCTCTGCGCCCTGCTCCTCTCCGGGAGCCCAGCGGCCCTGCCTCAGCACTCACCTCCGCCCTCCCGACAGCGATCTCTGTCCAGCGGTCCGGACCGCGGCCCCGCAGCCTGTGGCAGCGCCCTGCGCCCTCGATGTGCGCCGGCCCGCACCGCCCACCCGCGGCCGCCCCCTCCCCCAGGCCGGATGGCCGCGCCGGCAGCGCTGCCGGGTGGGCCCCGCTCTCGGCCCAGATGTGCGAGGCCGGGGCGGGGCCTGCCTGCGCGGGGCCTCCGCTGAGGGGCCAGCCTAGCCTGGCGTCCAGGGCCCCTCCCTGAGCCTTTCCAGCGCCTGGCCGCCGCTCCGGAGCAGCCCGGGAGGTGGGGTGGGTAGGGGAGAGGGTGAGGAGGGGAGGCGGAGGGCGGGGAAGAGAAATTCCATACCCCTTGTCGGCCTCCTGCGGCTCAGCTGCGAAGGGCTCCCCTGCCTGTCACAACAGGCCCCCCTCGGGGCTCGGCTTAGGCCGGCCCATCTGGGAAAGCCCGCCCCAGACCCCTCGCAGGACCCTGTCCCAGACCCTTCCAGTCGCTTGACCAGACCACCCACCCTGCGCTCCCCAGCCTGGTCTCCGAGGGTGAGAGACAGGAGGCAGACCTTTGGGTCTGGGGCCTGGCTCTGTCCTTGCTGAAGTTTGGGGCAGAGAGAGAAGCGTACTCACAGGCTGGGGCCCCACTCCTGGCAAGGGGTTCACTCAGAACTCATCTTACCTCTGCGAAGAGCACCCAGTTCCTTTCCTGTGAGGGCTCACAGCCTTCTTCCTGACCTAGCCCAGGTCCTCTTGGGGATGCTGGGACATGGCCTCCAAAAAGGGGGGTTTTGGGTGGAGACCCCCTTTTGGTAGGCCCCTGTAAGGCAATTGACTGTGCCCTCCACAACCTCCTTTTTTAAAAACAAAAAACAAACAAAAAAAACCTTCACAGGAGGATGTTTGTTGATTTGAGAGAGAGAGAGAGAGAGAGAGAGAGAGAGAGAGAAACATCAATCAGTTGCCTCCCATACACCATTGAACCTGCAACCTAGGTATGCACCCTGCCTGAGAATGAACTTCAGTGCGTGAGACGATGCTCCAACCAACTGAGCCACCTGGCCGGGGCTCCCAGGACCTCCTTGTTCTTGCAGGCCTGAGTTGGCCCCTTCCCCTCCACCAAATGTGCCCCCAGAGAGGCTCAGGATGGACACTAGTGGGATGCAGGCGGAGGGCTGCTTCTCAGGCCGGCTGTGTGTGCTAAGGTGCCTGGTCTCCTGTCTGCTCCCCCAGCCCCCCCAAGACAAGGCCCCCACACTTCTTTGAGCATCACAGTTGCCTCCCTCTCCAAACCTTTGCAAGGCCCATTTTTCCTCCCTCAAGTAATTTCCTTCCTACTCTCTGCCCATCTAAAAGGCCCCCAGCTAAAGTGTCACCTCTCCTAAACTTGTTATCCTTATTGTCAGGGCCACTGCCCCAGAGCCACCCGCAAAGGAGGTTAGGGGTAGGAGGTGTGCTGCATCAGACACTTTGGATGTCATTACCTGGCCAGTAAGCCAGCAAGGTATCTAGTCAGCAGCCTCCACTGGCTGCTTCAAGTGTGTTAGTATCTGTTCGTGTGTCTGTGTTCGTATGTGTGGGTGTGTTTGTGTGTGTCTGTGACTGTGTATATGTATGTCGGTGTTTGTGTGTGCGTCTCTTGGGATGTCTGTGTGTATTATTCATACATGTCACCGTATCTTGTGTCTGTGTATGAGTGTTTGTATTTGTCTGTCTGTGAGTGTGTGACAGACGTGTGATGGGGGCTGGCAGGCCTCCCCTCATTCCAGAGATTGAGCCCAGCTGGGGAAAATTGACGTGTGGCTGCATGTGAGTGTATGGGGAAGGGAGGGTCTGGCCCCTCAAAAGCAACCTGCCTCTTGTTTTTTTTTCCCTCCCCTCTGCTCCTGGTTTTCCTCCATCCCCACCTTTAGCTCCACAGATTGGCTCATCTCTGAGGGGCTGGCAGCAGGCTCTGAGCAGGAGTGAAGACTGGAAGGTGAGGATCCTGAGCACTGCCCTGCTTTGCAGCCTTCTGCCCTGCTCCTCCCCCATTTCAGGTCCCCTCAGCTCAGTCTGACTGGAGTCACAGGCTCCCACCCTTGGGCAGCTTCCAGCCTGACACAGAGGACAGCAAATAACCCCCGTGAATCCTGTTCAAGGTAGAGGAGGTTTGATTCCATTGCCATCAGAAGGTTTGGGCCCAGATGGGCATGGACAAGTGTCTTGCAGAACCCCTGCCCTTTACTGTCCTTTCTGTGCCCCAACACCTCCCTGCTCTTCCCTTGAGGGCCACTGTGGGTCCACCCTCTGACCTCATCGGCTTCCTGCTTCTCGGCAGCGGCCCCACGAGAAAGATCCACCTGACGGTCCTCCAGGAGCAGTAGCTCTCAGGCCAGGCTTCCCTCCTCTGGCCTTTGTGCAGGATCTTCTCCCATGGATGCCAGTGCTGCCAGCCCTGCCCCTCCAGTCCATCCCTATCATGCAACTGGAGGAGACTTTCAAAGGTGCAAATCTGCCCGGCTGGTGCAGCTCAGTGGTTGAACGTCGACCCAGGCACCAAGAGGTCTTCAGTTCGATTCCCCGTCAGGGCACATGCCCACGTTGTGGGTCAGATTCCCAGTGGGGGGTGTGCAGGAGGCAGCCAATTGATGTTCTCTCTCATCGATGATTCTATCTCTCTCTCCCTCTTCCTTTTTCCCCCTCTAAAATCAATAAAGGGGGGAAAAAAGGTGCAAATCTGGTTCCATTGCTTCACCACTCCCGAACTCTCCATGGCTCCCCATTACCTAAAGGAGAAGATCCAAGGTGTGGACTGCCCTTGACTGACCTCTCAAGCTGCCCGTCCCAGCCCGAACCTCCAGCTTCATCTCCTGCTCCTCGAGCACACCTGCCTTCTGTGCTTCTGACCTTTTGTCCCACCTGGGCCAGCACCTGTCCTGACCTGCTCAGACGAAACATCATTCTCTCCCTTGGGCACTCGGGGAGAAACTGGCCCCTTGGGTCCTGTTGTGGGTGCTTTGTCTTCTTGGAGAGCCCCCTGCCCTGTTCACCACCAGGTGGGCTTTTAGGAAGACTCTGAGTTTGGAAGGCAGGAGGAAGGCTCTCCTTTCCTGGTGCCCACTGCCTGTCCTGGCCTGGAAGTTAGAGCAGAGGGTGACGTTTGTCTTTAGAACATTTCATCACCCCACCTAAGCCTACGTGTGTTGAGGGCCTATGGAGAAAACTTCTGTCTTCCCTCCACCCTGCCCAAACCTGGCTGCTTGATCTGCCCCATAGCTTGGGACACACGCATGCGCACACACATGCAAATATGTGAGCACCAAGGGGAAGGGAGGTGCCCCCACAGCCTACCTTGAGAGGGAGGCTAGGGTGGGCAGAGGCTTTGTTTTAATCCTCACCTGAGGACATTTTTGCATTTATCTTCAGATAGAGCAGGAGAGAGAGAGGGAGGAAGAGAGAAACATCGATGTGAAAGAGAAAAATCAAGTGGTTGCCACCCACAGGACCCCATCTGGGGCCGGGGACAAACTGCATCCAAGGTACGTGCCCTTAGTGGGAACCAAACCCGGGACTCTCCGGTCCTTGGGCCAATGTTCTAACCACTGAGCAAAACTGGCCACAGCGGCAGAGGCTTTTTACACCAGTAGACCCTGTTGATCGTGCCTCATGGAGTGCTGGTGCCTACTTGGGTACCTTACTCTGACACTTCTGCTGCCTGGGGTTGTGGTGAGGACTCTCCATTCTTATTCTACAGAGGAGAAAGCTGAGACTTGGAGAACAGAGCACAGACCCAGTGGGCTGTCCCAGAGTCTGTGCCCTTGCCGATGTCACATGTTGCAGGAGGCTGGTGAAGGGAGGGAAATACCTGGGCACCCAGAGGCAGATCCCCTGGATGGCTGTCCAGCCCTGCCTGCCTCTTCCTAGGGGCAGGAGGTGGGGGCTCCTGGGACAGAGGCCTCTAGAGTATTTCTCTATCAGATTCCTGAGGTGTGGGCTTCCTTCCAGGAATTACTCCACCTGCCCCCACCCCAGTGGACTTCCTCTCTGTGGCTCACAGCCTGTCTGCATAATTTCCCTCATTGCGGATGGGAATGTGGGAGGCCCAACCCATGGCTAGGAGTTCAAGGCTCAGCCTTGGTGGTGCCCTACCTCCACTGTTGCAAGGGCAGCTGGCACCTCCTCCTTCATATAAAAAAGGCCTTGGGGCCCCACCTTCCTGCTGAGCCTCCCATATGACACCCACAGCACCCGAATTGTCCCCATATCTAAGAACTCTGCTCGGACACTGCCCCACCTGCAAGCCCTTCTCCAGTGCGATGTGATTAGAGTTCCCAGCAGGGACATAGGGAAGCTTTCTTGGAGGAGGTGACCCTGATCTGAGCCCAGAAGGATGACTTAGAGACATATCCATGTGGAGAAGCCAGAAGGGCATTCTGGGCGAAGGAAAGGGTGTGGACAAAGGCATGGCTGGTGGAGTGAACAGGAGGCAGCTGAGATGGACAAGATCAGCCGCCAGCTGGATGAGGGGCTGCGTGTGCTTGTCCCTGGAGCTTCTGAGTACAGACCTATCCTTGTCTCAGACCTCAGCAGGCACCGTTGGTCCTTTGCTCAGGAAACCCCAACCTCACTTGCTCCATTTGGGTACCTTCTGTTTGGGGTCTTCGGTCTCTATTCCAGACCACTGGGAGTTCAGCTTCATTGTGCAATTTTCCCTCTGTTCACCCCTTCACTTAGCTCCGGTGACACCTCCCCTTGCCAGCCCCTGCTCCACAGAATTGCCCCTTGCCAGGGTGAGGGGGCACAGAGACTCGGAGGGGAAAGAAAACGTTGGTGGAAAATGATAATTCTATCTCAGTCATGTCAAGCTGGAGGAGACTGTGGGCCTGCTGTGTAGATGATACTGGTTGCTTCCTCCCCCACATCGATTCTCTTTTTCTTAATAATAGAATCTTCTCTTTTTAGCCATGCACACGGCCAACCAGCACGCAGAATAGATTTCCTAGTCTTTCTTGCTGCTGGGCATGGCCATGTGACTAAGTTCTGGCTAATGAG